CAACACATGTTACATATCGCCGCGAACGTCGCAGTGAGAGCACTCATTTTAGTGCCATCAATCACTGATAACACTAAACTGATGAGCGGTAACAGCTTTTAAAGCGTCGCCTAGGGCCAATTTTGGGTATTATCGTTTTTTGAGGTTTCGCGCGCGCACGCAATTTTAAGGCTTTACATGTTTAGTGTCTTTTTACCCGACGTGACCCCATCTTTTATATTTTACCAAAAAATTGGGTAATAATAAATGTTTTATCATTTAATATAGGGGAAACTGTTTTTTTTTTTTAAATTTCGGTAATTTTTCCTTAATATAGTAAAAAAATAAAACCCCCAGTGGTGAATAAATACCACCAAAAGAAAGCTCTATCTGTCCCCAAAAAAGGGTATAAAATTCATTTCAGTACAGCGCTGCATGACGGAATAAATGTCAGTTAAAGTACCGCAGCGCTGAATACTGAAAAATGGCCTGGATGGGAAGGGGGTTTAACACCGCGGATGTCAACTGGTTAAAAAGTGCTCTTCTCAAAATGGATTGTTGAAAAATGCTTAATGACTATTTGTTACACTCCCTGATAGTTTTTTAATGCTATTATTTTGTCATAAACTACACATTAAGGGCTTTTACCACCAAAGCAACATACTGTTTACATTATTCCTCTTACAGTTTATATGTATATTATATTTTCTTTCACTTCCAGCACAATTATAGTCTGCTCATTGGTGTTACATACTAACTCTCAAAGTATGCCTTGAGGTCTTGTCTTGTCATCATACTTCGGAAAGGACACCTGCTACCTGGAAATGACTGCATTCCTGGCACTGCTTCTTCACCTGTTCCTCAGCTTGTGGTGGAAGTCTGGAACACTGCATATGCTCACAAAGACACACTCCAGACATGAAAATAATATCTTTATTAAAATTATAATGAGTTTAACACACACAAACATGTTCTGGCTATACACAAAATAATAGAATCTCACCATATAAAGGGTGTCCAATGGAAATCACGTCACTGCCTATATAACAATACAATGTGTTATCCTGAAGGCACACTTACTGTGCACAGATTTTACAGCTCCCACAAGTCCCGTATTACATTATTAGACAGGATTGTGACTCGCACTACTTTGTTTTTTTTGGTTTACAGGACCTTTGGTGGACAAGCAGTCTGTCTGGCAGGAAGGTACGTCCACAAATATCACAAGCAACCAGTTGGCTCTGGGCACTCTGCCAGGAAGCTTCGTTTAAAGCAACAAGATCGTAGGAACCTTTTGCTGGAAAAAAAGGAGACAGAATATCAGTTTTCATTTTGGTCAAACAAAGTAGGAAAACATTTTCAGGAAATACCTGTAGACTTAGCATTAGCTAAGACCCAGGCGTATTGCTTGTACAAGATGTTCTGGTTATTGTCTATGGAATGGACAAGGGAAACAAGTTACACTCCGTTAGTAATGCCTTGTCCTGACATAACGTAGCATGCAAATAAACTTTACACTGTTTACATGATTGAATATTTTCCATTTAATTTTAGGGCACTGTTCAAGCATTATGATTATATGAAAATAAATAGATTTGGAATTATGAAAACAATTATGTAGAGATTATGCTGGATTTAATATGTTCAAACAAAAATGTTCCTCACAAAAGCCTTGTACAGTTACTTTATGTGATAGATTTATGTATGCGTTATGCTCACAGTTCTCTGGGGAGAACACAAGATCACTATGTCACGCTTACAGTTGTTCCTCTATCCAGTCCCATTGGTTAGAAGAACTGCACATCACACATTTGTTTTATGTTTGTGCCCCCTTCTACCCATGTGGAAAAAAATAATAAAAACAAATGATTTTGCAAATGCAATTGTAATAACCACATTGTATGCTGTACAAACACAATTCACACATTCATATTTTATGTAAAAATTCTGGTTCTGAAAAATTATCTTTTCAAATTCTGCTATATGCATTACAAGGATTTTACCAATGTTAGTATTTGATTGCCACTGGGCCATACATTAAAGGCATAGGTCATTAAAGTGCACTTGCTGAAAGAAGCTAAGCAAAAAAATAAATTAAAAAATGCCACATATACAAAGTGCAGTCACTTTGAGGACCTACCTATAAGTCCTACATCCTGTAGCAGTCTCCAACACTCTGACCAACCTAAGCGCTTTCTGATAGCACCCAACACACACACAGTCCTGTAATGGTGGTTGACTAAACAGGAAACCATGCAGCAAACCTAAGAGATTTCTGGAGAGGCAGTGGTCTCTTTGCAGGTGCAATGGGCTTCTAATAAACTCTGCCCTGCAGCTACATGTTACAAAGGGCCAGGATATGCCCCTGCCACGACTGCCACAACTGATTGGGCTGGTAGGGGGGTGTGCCTGTTAAATTTTGAGTGGACTTGGGCAAAAGCAGGTGAACTCTGTTTGCACCAAGCCCCAGCTCATCACCAGCTGTAAGGAAAAGAAATGTAAATTTTCAGGCAGGAAATCACGTGACTGGAAAAGGACAGGTATTTAAATTAAACTACAAAATGATCTGTGTATCAGTAATATACGGTATGTCATATTCATTTTGACCAGACTTTGAAATGTTCCATTAAGCTGATACTGTATTTGTTACCATGGGGGGTATTCACGTAGGAGCTGAAGGATTCAGCCGTAGCTTCGGCTGATCCTCCGGCTCTCTTCGGCCGCCGTAGCCCTTCTGTTCAGTCGAACCGAAGGGCTGCTTTATGCGCTATTCACTATAGCCCGTACAGAAGCCGAAGGCGGCCGAGCGGCTCAGCCGAGCGGCTCAGCCGAGCCGAAGGCATATGCTTTGGCTCGACTGAGCTGAAGGCCGGCCTTTCGCCCAGCAAATGACAGATCAGTGTCCCCAAATGATCTGGTAGTGACTAAAGCTGGGTAAACACAGTGATATTTTTTTACAAGGCTGAACAAAAACAAATATGGCAGATTCCTCCATCCACAGTAACAGCATGGATGAACGAATCTCCTGCTGTGTACATTGTATTTGACAGCGGCGCTGGCAGCTTGCAGTTGATTGGTCTGCATGCACAATTCAGCCGATAATTTTACAGCATTTCCCTTAGGAAAATGTTGATCTAATGATTCACTTCTGCCAAGGGGGTAAGGCCACCCATGGATCGAATTTCGGCTGCTTCCTGCTGAATCTGTCGAGATTCACTGTGTGTGTACCCAGCTTTAGCCTGTGCTGAGATCTTCTTATACACAGGAGGTTACACCGTAGACATATATTGTAGAATTTATTTTCATTGCAAAATTAGCATTACTAATATGGACATTTAATGATCTACATTGCAGTTAAGGAATTTTCAGAAAGGGGGTTGAACATACATTTTCCACACTGACCTGTAGACTATGCAGACCACTGCCTATGGTCAGAGTACAAGGAGATAATATTGATAATCATTCTGCTTAATGTAACACACTGTTTTAGTATAATGTCATCTTTCTAGACCTTGTATTTGTATGTTGCACTGTGTTTTGGGGGTTCAACAGTATAAAATTAAAAATAAGACTAATTATACCGAACTGCAAAGAATTTGCCATTGTAGGGAATTGGATGAAGCAGTGTAATCATATCCCTGGGTGCTAGAAGAAGGTGTCTGGGCACTACATATGAGTACATGTCCAATATGAGACACAGTGCTCCCTACAGTGTCTCACAGCCTTCACTAGGGCAGTAATATCATCCCACAGCGAATTGCTAGAAGGCAATAGAAAAAGCAAACAGGACATGTTGGTGCTGTGTTTATTACCACTATGGGCCCGTTCTCACCTATGTGTCGTGTTAATCACATGGTACCATGCAATTAACATATGCTATTACTCAACACACCTACCATGCGCTACAGGTATCCTGCGTTGCCATTCCAATGCACCTCCCAGCTACAATGTGCTGCAATGCAGCGCAATGCGTGGTACCACAATGCCGTGCATTGGGTTTAAAAAGTAGAGCATGCACTACTTTTTTCTACTGCACCGCAACTCACGGTATTGTTGGACCGGGCGTTGCACTGCATCGCAGTGCACTGTAGCTAGAAGTTACTTGTGATGCCATTCAATTGAATGCAAAACACCTGCTGCACAGTACACACAGTAGGTGTGTTGTGCGATAGTGTGTGTTAATCGCTTGTTACTGTATAGTGCACAAGTCTGAATGAGCCCTAGGATGCAAAGTCTATAGTTTTACTATATTGTGAAGAATTGGGCATATGGGGATGGGAGGGGAGTTGTGGTTTTGCAGAGTTATTGTGTACTCAAAAAATTCCAGGTCTAGGTTGGCTACACTTAATATGTTTGATGGGGTATTTATCTGTCTTTTTTTTGCCATCAACTACCAATCAACAATAGTCATGCAAAGCTAATTCTTTCTTTCAAAGAGGAAATGAATGGTAATTGTATCTCACTACCGTGTTTCCCCGAAAATAAGACACTGTCTTATATTTTTTGGGGCTCAAAAAAACCCACTACCACTTTCGGGTAGGTCTTATTTTTTTTTATGTACAACAATCCACACTTATTCATGTACAACAGTCTACATCAGGGAAAGGCAACCTCCACACTCAAGCTGTTGTGGAAATACAAGTCCCATGAGGCACTGCAAGACTCTATCAGCCACAGGCATGACTCCCACAGGCAGATGCATTATGGGATTTGTAGTTTCACCACAGCTGGGGTGCCAAGGTTGCCTACCCCTGGTCTACATGTATTCATGTACAAAAATATGGTGATCAGGGCAATCAGGAGTGCCGTACCTTTCCAAGAGCAATTTGCTAACCAATCGCTGGCCATAATGAGTGAAGCGCGCTTTCACTATCGATACCTCACTGGCGGAGTGCATTTGGTATCACTCCGCCTGTGACAGGAGCCGGCGCTATAGAGGAAGCATCGGCTCATGCGGCTCTGCTCCCTCCGGTGCCGCCTCGCCTCCTCTAGAGCTAACTTGGTTGGCACCGCTGATTCTCTCCTGCCTCTCCCGCGGCTCTTCAGGTTCCCCCTTATGTCACCACCGGCCCTGGGAATGGTCACAACTAGGTCTTATTTTCAGGGTAGGTCTTATATTTTAGCAATTCCCAAAAATAGTACTAGGTCTTATTTTCGGGGTAGGTCTTATTTTCGGGGAAACAGGGTATTTTGCCCACAAGATCTTGGCAAGTGAAGAAAGTTGTCTAGTTTGTCAGCAATAAACAGCTTTAGATTGGTCACAAGGATTTTTGAGGCTTTTTTTGTAAGATTATAAAGACTGCGTTTTGAAGTTTGAGAAATATTTTCTGCAGCCAATTCATACAAAATAGAGGAAACTCACAACTCTTCACCTTTAAAGTTCCTTTATCCAAGAGGTACTGGTAAACATGGACATGAAACCTGCAACATGGAATCTGACTGGCTTCCAGTGTTTATAAATCAGTCTAAACTGTCAGTCCAAATCAATAGCTTACTTAGAGGATTATTGACAAAGCTGCTGAAGGCAGCTGAGTGAATAACCGAGCCTAAGTGAAGTATGCCGAACGGTGTTCGGCTATCCACTTCGGCTCTGTACGGCTGATTTCAGCTGTACATTTGCTAAAATCAGCCAAATATTGACTGCCTTTGGCAGAAGCCGTTCGGCTCAGCCGATTCAACATCTGGATCGCCTGAGCCGAAGCACCGGCAGTTCACTCGCTGCCATTTGCCCCTTTTCACATATGGACCGAACAGCAGTGAGTGAATAGCCGAATGCCACCAGCTCGTCTATGGACATGCGCAGCAGCTCTCTCCTTACCTGCACGTCCCCGTGTGCCAGCTCCTTCCCCCCTCTCTCTTTCTCTCCCTGCTGACAGATCGTGGATCGTGGATCGCTGATGACAGAGGGGAAGGAGCTCTCTCTCGCTCTTCAGCATTTACTACAAATCGGAAAGTCCATATATGGTAAATGATGTCACTGGAGATCCCTGCTGATCGGATCCGATCAGCAGGGATCTCCAGTGACATCATTTACCATATATGGACTTTCCGATTTGTAGTAAATGCTGAAGAG